AACAATTTTACATTTTTGCTTAATTACACACGAGTCCTTTGCCAAACCCCCTCACCCCTCTCCCAGCGCTGCTCTGCTAAAATTTCCCCAATTTGCTGTGCACGCTGTCGCTTTGACTTTGCCAGCCAAAAAATGAGCTGCTGCTGACCCTTGCCAATCCCCCCTCCTCTCGCTGTATAGAGTCCATTTTGCGTCCATGTCAAATATTTGCACAAAGTCCAAGCTACGCTGTCTCTCTATCTACTCCCACTCTCTCGCTCTGCCTCTCGCTCTGCCTCTCGCTCTGCCTCTCTCTACTCTTTGCCGTTAGTCGTCGTCAGCATCGCTCATCTCAGCAGCAGAGACGCGGCTGCGGGGCGCGGCGCCAGGCTGAACGCAGACGCAGCTTATCATTGACAAAAAGCGCAGCGCAGCAGGCAACGTGGGTGGGGTGTGGATGGGGGCGGGGGCGGGGGCGACGGCGACGACTGATTTTCGAGCGGGGTTCACTGACTGTCAACATGGCGCGGCGCCCTTTTTCAACGTAAGCCCACCCCCCCTTCAACCACGCTGCCAACTTGCACTTTTTGCCTGGCTTGCGCTGGGGCGCTGCCAGCGTTGCCAGACAACGCACAGTCAGCGTAAATTGTTGCGCAAAAAAGAAAAAAAACGTAACTCCAAAGTTTTCGTGGGGTCGTGGTTGGGGTTAAAGAAAAACAAAAAAAAAACGGGAGCAAGGCAAAGAAATCATTTTAAATGCGGCTTAAAATTATCTTTGATAACCGTGGCGAAATGTTGCTGCTGAGTAATTTATAGGCAAACGTTTGTGCGCCTCCACGAAAAGGTCCTTGAGATCAAAGTCGTCCTTCGCGCTGCTGTCCAACTTGGTTTGGGCCAAAGTTTAAGCGGCTTATCGCAAGCTGATTTAGCTTTGGATGCGGTGGGCGGTGGGGCGCTCACTGGAAGGGTCCTCATTAGTGTTAAAAGGTAAACTAATTGGCCAACATGAATAAATTGTTAGTGTGCGTAGGGGTAAGAACAAGAAATCTGTGCTCTTAAAAAGTGCTTAAGGAGCAAAAGAGTTAATGATAATCCTTCAGCTGTCACTCTTATACTACGCCCACAACTGCAAGTTCAAATGCAACTAAAATCCACTCCATATGCTTCTTATAATCAGCTCAGCTCTTATAATTTAATTTAAATCCCGCTGGAATATAGCACAAGAATCCCTATGTAAAACAGGCTCAAATAGTTTAAAATTCTGGCATTCTTTTACAACTCAGCTTCTAATTCATCTCTAGAGCAAGCCGCTCTTCTATTGTCTTATACAATAAACTCTTGAGCCGAACCAAAGCAAGCTTAAAGCTAGCTTAAAGCTTACAGCTATATTCCCTTGAAAATAGCCTATTCTAGAGTTCAACTCGAGATCTGCCATACAGCTTTAATTTATCGCTTCTACAGCGGCCTCTCTTCTACTTAGTCTTATACGATACTCTTAAGCAAACAAAAGGCAGGCTTAAAGCTCTTCCACTAGACTTCCCATTGATTTCCATTCTACTTTCCCACTCTTCCGTCTTAAAGTTAACTTACAAATTGACATTATGAAGCATGCGTAGCTGTAATAAAGAGCAAGAGCACGAAAACAAGACGAAACAACAAAAAACACAATCACAAGCATCAAGTTCTTTTGAGCAGCAGCAACAATGCAGCCGCTACTTGACTGCACTTTTTTCTTTACAGTTTTACACTTGATTTGTGGAGCAGACGCTTCAAATTTACCTGCAGTTTTAGTTACCTGTTGGCCAAGCAAAAGAAGAGAGAGAAAAATGCAAACAGTAGCCAGACACACAAGAAAACAAAAAGTCGTGCAACACATTTTCTACTACTCTTACGCACACACAGTTTCTACTACTTCTACTACGCTTTTTACTACCTTTTTACAAGTCCCGTTGTTGTCTCTTACTTTGACTTTTGTTTCGTTTTGTCTGTCATGAGAGCGAGCGCCGAGCGACAAGTGATTTCTCTGCCCGATAGCACAATTCTCATTTCCTACAACTTGAAACTTTTTTAATAGATTTCAAATATCGCCCGCCTGCCCCCCTCTTATACTCTAGAGTAATCAAGCAAATTAGTATGTTTTCCTAGTTCAAGTGCGAATAGAAGAGAGAGAGAGAGAGAGGGCGCCAGAGTCTCACGTCCGAATTGGATGCCAACTTTCGTCTTGGCCTTTGGGTTGCCCCCAGGATAATTTGGGCTGTAAATTGTTGACAGCTTTGGGTTGGGTTACATACATATATATTTATATATATATTCTTTTTCTTTTCATTCCCTCTTTGGCAATTCTGCTGTGTAGACAAATGAAGATAAATGTGCACTGAGCAGGGCAACAAAAGTTGATTTTTTTTTTAATTTTCCATGCACAAATTATCCAAACTTCGGGCAAAAAGTCGAGATGTGGATGAAAATTGTGCTAGCTGAGACTAGCAAATACGCTCCAGGGTATTAAACATTCGTATATTCTCAATGCAACAATATACGTACCTGCTTTCTTAATAACAGGGTATTAAGGAAATATATGATGTATAACATAAAAAAAACTGTCGAAGCGTTTGTTAAAACCGATATACCCCTCTGCTATCATATATTTAAAGGGTATTAAACTTGTAAACTGTAACGGGTATCGAAATAAATGCGATAGTCTTGTTAAGTCGATAGTCGAACTAAAAAGTTTTCAGTGTGCACACACACACACACACACACACACACACACACACACAGGCGAACACACGAACACACTTTGCAGTTGTTGATCTCAATATTGTGCTTGTTGCTTGTGCTCTTCATTTTCTTGACGATGATGAAGATGAATTGCAGTTAGAACTTTGATAGAAATGCACACAACAAGCTTTGCGTTGTTGTTGTTTTTCCTTTTCTGTTTTGCCAGTTGCATGCTGTGTTCGCTGGAAAAGTTCAGCAGCAAAGTTCTAAATAGAATTGCAGCAATTGAATGTTTTATTGGGCCAAAAGGGCATAACAGGGCAAAGGAAATGAAATAATTGTGTCAAATGGCAGGCGCTCTTAATATGAGTCACATTCAAATGGAAGAGAGAGGGAGAGAGAACAATGCCAAAGCTAAGAGCGGGTTAAATGAGACAGTTTCGGAAGTGTACAAAGGAGTTGCAAAGTTTGCCTCGATGTGTGCATAAAATACAAAAGAAACGGCAACAATTGCAACAATGCCAACAACAAAAGCTAGCGCAAAGTTCAAATTCCGAAATGCAACAAAGCAAGCGGCAAAATTCAAGAGTGGAAGAAGCAGCAGCAGCAACAACAACAACAACAACAACAACAACAACAACAGCAGCGATAAAGACAAAGAATTTGCTACACAAAAGCGAAACTTGTAAAGAAATTAGAAGTCAAAATGAAATGAGCATGCACTTGCGTGTGTGTGTGTGTGTGTGTGTGTGTGTGTGTGCGTAAGAGAGCGGGGCAGAGAGGGGCAAACAACGGTTCGTTTAATTATAAGGCGGGTAGCAGCGAGTCAAAGCGCATAAGTTTGAGTTTAACAAAGTGAGGGCGGGCTGCCTTTTGTTTTGTTTAATTACAAGTGTAACATGATATGCCACAAGGGTAACGGTTTTGATTATGATTATTTGTGCAGGTGTCAGTTACTAAGCTTTTAATGCGCTTCGAGTTGAGTGAACTCTCTTGTTTGCGCAACAATTTTCAGCGTGCAAAACCCTCAAATAACATTAACCTAATGGCCATTTGCAAATAGACAGCGACAAATGGTTCAATTTCAGTGCTCAAACACCTGACCTGCTGGCCATGCTGATTAGATACTAAAGCACCTGCACAGGTAAATTGATAGCTGGGCGTGTGCGCACCTTATTTTTTATCGTAAATAGAACTAGGTTGACTAAGAAAAATTAAAAGCTTTAAGCAAGAGAGTAAGATGGGCATATAATTCTTAAAGTTCTATTTTAAAATAAAAGATTTGCAGCAAAACTGTGGTACACATCTAATGTACACTCAAGAAAACATAATAAACTACAGTTAAGTATAAAGCTCAGCTCATGAAATGAACAAGTGCTGCAGAAAGTACTCAAAATTTTGCCTCATCAGGCGCAGCAGATAAAATCATTCAAAGAATGAGGGGGCGAGAGAAAGAGAGCGCGAGAGAGAGCGCAGCGGTCGTCTAGCGTGCGCTCCTATGCTGAAACCGCTGCACCTGCGCTTTGCATAAGCTTAAGCTGCGCTCGCACTATTCTTCCCCTTTACTCCTCCTCTCCTCTCCTTGACGCACAGATTTTTTGGCAGGCTCGGCTGCATGGCTCGCTCATTTGTTCTTGGACGATTGCCAAAGAAGGAAGTGTAAAGGAGTTGCGCGTGCGTGAAAAATTTTGTGCCCAAATTTTAATTAGTGCATTTTGTATTCGTGCATTTTGTTGCAGTGTTTACATGGAAATATTTTAAAAAACAAATTGATTTACAAATTAAAATTTGCAAGTTTCCTTATTTTTTTTTTTTTACAATTGACTATTGTCCGTGTGCGTCTGTTTACTCTAGTACACGATTCTCTTTGTTGTAATCGATTTACAGTGTTGAAAAATAAACAAAAAAAAAAAAAAAAACTATAACGAGAAAAGTAATAAGAAAAACAATATGTTTAGCAGTCGCACTTCGTTTTTGGGCAATCGCCGCATGATTTTCGATTTCTCCGAAAAAAGCACCGACTTGTATATGGAGTGAGTATGGAGCAAAAAAAAGTGCTCAAATTATACAACTATAACTGTTAACCGAAATATTGTATATTGTTTTTAAGCTATACTTACATTTACTCCCTTTATGTGCTGCTCCTTCGTTCGAAATGAATGTGAAGCAAAATCTACCACACTATAACTGTTAATCAATGTAGTCTATGCTTTTATTAACTCTCTTTATATAGGCTATTCCATCCACAACTATAACTGTTAACATTTACTCATGCTCTTCACGTTCTCTCTTTGTCGTTGCAGTGCATTTGGTATGAGCGATAAGAGCAGCAGCGCTACCAACAGCCTACCGAATAGTCCCATACATAGCAACAACAATTCGTCGCTGCTCAACAACAACAACTCGAGCTTGGTGGGCAGCAACAATTCGCTAACGGGCACACCCTTTGGTAACGGCAATAACAACAACGCCAACAACAGCATCATGTCCAGCAGCTTGATGAACAACAACAATTCGTGCAGCGCCAATCGCAATGTTGTCAGCATGGACGATGATTCGTGCTATCGCCTAGATCCGGACACGGCCGTCGTTACCTATGGTGAGAAGGAGCCCGATCCCGATAACATTAAAATGTTTGTGGGCCAGGTGCCCAAATCGATGGACGAGGCTCAGCTGCGCGAAATGTTTGAGGAATACGGACCGGTGCACTCGATAAATGTGCTGCGCGACAAGGCCACGGGCATTAGCAAAGGTGAGTGCGAACGAGAAAGAGAAATATTTGAAAGCAGTTCTACTCGGTGTACCGACGATTGAATACCCTGCAAGCATAAATCTATTGAATTCACTTATCTTCCATAATGATAGTTGAGCTTATTAAATATATTATAAAAGTCTATATATTTATACACTGTCCGTTGCTCAATGGTCATCCATATAACATTATGTAGTTATACAATTGATGAGAATACAAAAACCCGCAGCTATTTATTAAATTCGGCTCAAGTTGAAGGATCAATCAAAGATACTCTCTGCAAGGGTATACAAATAAATAAAACGGTAAACGCTAAAGCTCAATATCACCGACTTGCCGCCTCGCTCCCACGCACAACAGCTTAAAGTAAATGAGCTAAAATTAGCCACGATAGAAACACACACACACACATGCACACTAACATAAGTATATGACATCTCTCGCCTGCCTCTTTTGAATGTGCGTGTGTGTGTGTGTGTATTTTAATTGCATGTCATGCGCTTTGCCATTTCATTTCATCAGCAAATTGCTTTTTGTTCGCCATTTGTATTTGACTCGAGCGCTCATTGCCTTGAGCTGCTGTTTGAGAGAATTTGAATGCTGTACGCAAAGAAAACATTGCTGTTTAAAAGAAATGAAAGAAACAACAAAGTGCTGCACCGTGCGATATTGAGTGCATTTTTTTTGTAGGCGAAGCTTCAATAAAAATATAACTCAAAAGCATTTGATTTGACTGCTCACTTTGCCCATTGTTGCTCTTGTCATTTGCAGGCAATTTAAAAGCCTCTTAACTGCAGGCAGACCAAATGGTCAGCCAGCATTTCTATTGATGCGCTGCCGCAACGTTCTCCGTTAGCTCTCTGGCATTCATAACGGCATTTTCAATTGTGAGCAATTGTCTAGGCCTTTTGTCCGAACATATTTTTATTTGTACATTTATTTATTTCTATATTAATATATAGATATTTTTTAGATACGGCCCATTGTCAGCAGCTTATTTAGTTTTAGCCAACTTTTGTAGCACTTATTCGGCCGCCCCCTCTCTTCCTCTCTCTCTCACACACACAAAATCGTGCTTCCTTTATCATTTTGGTGGGGCTGCAGTTGACAGTCGGCCGCTGCTTTGAAATGTGGGCGTTTGCATGGTCAGCTTGTCATCGATGGGCGTGGTACTCGTAAGTGAGTAAGTGTGTGTGTGTGTGTGTGTGTGTGTGTGTGACAAAGTAAAAGCGCAAACAGTTTTAGGACGCACTTAAGTGGCGCGTTGTGTTGATGATTTATGACAGTGAGACAGCGAGAGAGCTGCTGCGACGCTGAGATTGAGAGAGTGCGAGTGGTGCGAATGGACGCAGCAGCTTTCGGCTAAGTGCCTGCCTACACATATGTGTGTTGTCTGTTTGCTGTGTCTGTGTTTGTGTGTGTGTGTGTGTGTCGCTGTTTATCACTTGAGCTTAAAAGCGCGCCATGCCACGAACACAAATCGACACAAATTGCATTTGAAAGTTATTATTTATGCCAGGCAACTGTCAAATGCGAGAAGGCAAACAAAAATAAAGAGGGGCGTGGCGTATTCAGCGCTGACCCGAAAACGGCATAGAGAATAAGAAATAAAATCGGAGAGAACATTTTATCTGCTGAGTGTCGCAGTTGAGATACCCTAACAAATGCGTGACTTTAAAAGGAATGTAGAGAGCGAAGGAGAAAGGAGGAGAAAAATATAGAGAATCAAGAGAGTAAACGAGAGAGAAAGAGAGAGATGAAGAGAGAAAGGGACGAAAGGAGAAAGAGATAGACGAGAGAAAGCGTGAGAAAAAGAGAGAGAAAGAGAGAAGAGAAAAAATCAGAAAAGCAAGAGAGAAAAAAAAAGTGAAAAACAAGTGTGGAAAAAAGAGAGAAAGAGTAAGAGAGAATGGGTGAGAGAGAGAGAAAGAGATAGGAGACATCTTAACATATCTGATTTATTTAGAAAAGTTAGGATAAGGAATATTACAGGTTTCCATTTAATGCGTTACACAATGCATGACAAAGCTAAAACACCCCCTTTGGCAAGTGTGTATCAAGGGGTGGTCCGTTGGTGCAGAGGGGACAAAGTTTTTGCACTTTCTTGCCGCTTGCCGAAGTTTTGTTGTTTAGTCGCTTCTCTGTCGTTTCCTTTCATGTGCAGTTTTATTTTGGCTGCAACTTCCTGCTACAACATTTCCATTTAGCCTGGCTTGTAACCCACTTTTGGCCAGTTATTTTTTTGTACCTTGGTCCTTTTTGCTGCGACAAAAAGTTGTCAATGCAGCCTCCCCTACCCAACCCTCGCCCATCCAGTTTGGCCTTTGCTGTTGCATTTTTATGGTAAAACGCTTAGCCAAAAGCCAGCACAGAACTTGGCCGGCTGCAGCTACCAAAAATGGGAAATGACACTTTTAAGCGCGACGATGACCTCTGAGCCAGAAAGTCGTAAATAACACCACGCCCCTCACACACACCCCCCCCCCCCCCCACGCGATTGAGAATAAAATAAAAAAAAATTTCCTTTTCATTTCGGCAAAAGTTTCGACGCTCTCCGCGGCTTTTATTATTATTTCTGGGCTAATGCCTTTTTGGCCAAAAAACTTGTTTTTCTTTCACACTAAATTTCGTTAGCGGCCAGTTACTTTTTCGAGTGGATTTTCTATGTTGTTTGCGGGTGTTCTTATTGCGGTTACGCTTTGCTTGTTGTTCTTGTTGCTCTGCGGCGAGAGCAGCCAGCCTGCGTGTGTGTTAGAAAGAGAGAGAGAGAATGAGAGGGAGAGAGCGTAGGAGGGGGCGAGTGCGAGGGTGCGTTTAAGCTCTAGCGTCATAATTTATAAGCGCTTGCGGTTAGCAAAGGAACTACAAGAGCGAAAGAGAGGGAGAGAGTGAGAAGGGTTAACTCTGTGCGCTTCTCTTTCAGTTTGTTCAGGTGTAAAACACCTTTACAGCTGTGTTTTGGCCAAAGCATTTAATTTGATGGGCTCGTCTTTTTTTAAGTTGTAAATTTTGTGGGCTTTAAGCTAAAGTTTGTCGAGCGGCAAACCTGAGAGGCGGACCGTGTGCGTTTGACAAGGGTGTGCCATAAATAAGTCAATGAATGACAAACTGCTCGCAATGCAAATAAATTTAATTTTGGCAAATATAACTCAATTAGTTACCCTCGGAAATTGAAGCTGCAAAGAAATTAGAATATTTGTGAAATTAGAATTAACATGTTTAATGTCTTTGACTCGAATGTTAAATTCCTTTTACTGAATTTAGAATTAAAAATATGTGAAATATGTGGGAATGAAAGTTAAAGGATAAGTTAATAAACGGTTCAGGATAATTGCAAACAGGATTTTCTAGTAATTACAACTTTTCCAGTAACCTTTTTTTTTTTAGCTCGGTGACAACCCTATTTGAAATAATACAATAAAAATAGTTTCCCAACTTAAATTAAATATATTATCAAATATTTTTACAGCTTTAATAACGCATTTGAGCGTTCGCTTGAGGCTATTAAGAGCTTTTATTGCCTGTCCTTAGCTCAGTTCTTGAAATTCTTTTCTATAAATGTGATTTATGACCATATAAAAAACTTAACTTGCGCTGACCGAATCACAAAAAAAAAAAAAAATATGAAAATAAAAAAAAAAAAACGAATACTATAATTCACCCACAGAGGAAAAAGATGTTCTGCCCCTTGCCACTTTGGTTTTTTTTTTCCCATCTCCGCCTTGAGAACTTCATTTTGGGCAGCTCGCTGCCCTCCACCTCCCCCTGCCCCGCGCCCATTGTCAAGCTCTGCGTCTAACTGTGCTTGGGCCAGCTGTCCGCTGTCACCTAAAAGAAAGAAGCAGAAAAAAAAGAACTGAAAAAGAGACGCACTTATCTGCCGCCTTCATCGGCCTCGCCCACTGTCTCTCTGCCTCCCTTCCGGTCTTGCCGCCCTCCAACTTTGTGTGCTTGACATTTTTATTTAGCTGCTTGCCGAGCGTGAAAAATGCATAAAATTTCACTTAATTTTCAAAGAGCATTTCAATTTCAAAGACTCGTTTGTTTTATTCCATCCTATACCCTGTAAAAATGGTTAATAGACGGGGTATTTTGAAGATATGCTGAAGAAGCTTCTAAGCACAAAAATTAAATGTTCTGCGAGATACCCTGGAGTCTTTAGAAGTGACTACTAGTCGGGGTATTCTGAAATATGCAACAGGTCAATAATATTTTTGATGCTTTCTTTTTGTCAAATTCTTTCGAAAGTAAAAAAACAACTTTGTTTTTATTCCAAGTGTGTGAATTATATCAGTACCATTACTATATTAACAGTTCACACATTACAGGGTATTTGCTAGTCGATCATTCTTGACTTTAACACTCTTAATACTTGATTCCAAGCACGTGCATTATATAAGTACCATTACTGTATTAACAGTTCACACATTACAGGGTATTTGCTAGTCGATCATTCTTGACTTTAACACTCTTGTCCTTGTGGCATTTTTGGTTTTGGTCATGACTTTTGGCGCCCACTGAACTATTGCTAAACGTTTGTCACTTTCGCTAGGTCGAGCGTTATCTGTGCTTGGTCCAAGTGAGGGTGTGGAGGAGGAGGGAGGGCGGGTTACAGAAGGGAGCCATAAACTAAATTCGATTGAAATTGCATTTTGCTGTAGTTGCTTTAGTTGTTGTTATTGTTGTTGCTGTGTGTTGCAACTGCCTTTGTTGCTATCTCTTTCTGTTTAGTGTGCACTCGGAGTCGGCCACTAAATCTCTGCCCCAAAGTTTAATGACATTGATTTATTTAACTTCGATTAATTCGTATCCTGCTCTCTCTCCCTCTCTCTCTTTCTCTCTTCGCCCACTGTCTACGTGTGCGCCCGGCACATCCTTTATGTATATATCCCATAGTTTATCCCCTTTGCTGGACTTTGGCACGTCGTGTCTGGCGCGAGCGGCGGCTCTCGATTTCACATCTTAAAATCCAATCCAACCCACTTTCACACACACACACACACACACACACACAGACACACATGCACACGCACGCCCGTAAGTCGGAAGCCACCGCGCCCCTCTTCTGTTCCAGGATTAAGTTTTTGTCCAAAAACGTGACTGGATGTCGTTTTCAGCATTTGCCGCCAGTTTTGTTGTTACTTTATCGCATTGTTCCCTCAAGCAAGCGAAAGCTCAACTGTTCCCCTCCCTCTTCAGCCAGTGCAACCCGCTCTACCACCTTCTCTCTTCTCGGTCCCCAGCCTGCGTCTTGTTTTGGCGCTTTGATTCTAACTGCAGTTGACATGCACATAATGGGAATTGAGAGATTTCTCTTCTGCTTCCGCCTTCTGCCCGCCTGCCTGCCTTCGTCTTTTTCTCTTCTTCTGCTTCGTTATCGCGCGATTGGTTTTCGTCTTTGGTTTCTCAGTTTGTTCTTTCACTTCTTGCACGATATTTTATTGCATTTGAAATCGTTTCGATTTTCTTTCATTTGTTACATTTAACGCTAGTTTAATTTTAAGTGATATTTAATCTGCGATTGCACAAGTTACTTTTTTTTCTTTCTTATTTTCCTTCGATTTCATTTCATTTGGGGTTAAGTGAAATGCGATATTTGTTTGCTTCAGTTCAGGGCGAAACTTAAAAGATTAAAGTTCGTTAGTGGCTGCATTTTATCCAATGTCCATATAAACGGAATAGCTTTTATTTGTAATTTTAGTGTGTATTTGGCTTTAATGAGCTTTTCTGTTTTAGCCGCTCAATGAAATTTTTCTTAAAAGAAATTTTCTGAAAGTACACTGTAAGCTTGCGGACTGAATAAAAATCTACAATATATACTGATAAGCTTTAATTTTTATTTTAATGTGAGTTTAGCTTTAATGTGCTTACGATTAAAATTAAGAACTGTTCCATTTATATTGAACCTTAATTATGTGAGCTTTTCGACGAGCTTCCAGCAAGCTTTCAAGCTTACATAGCCATATTTACTCTTTCAGTGGAAATTAAGCTTCGTCTTCTTACTCAATTCACATGTATAGCAACTTATCCGTCATATTGTAAAGCTTAAGCTTAAAATGAGCTTTAATAAAGAGCTTTTTCGGCCGCAGATTAAGTATATTTAAGGTAGAGTGCTGTAAAACAAAAGAGGCATTAAAGTTGATCTCGTTTACAAAAACTTTAAAAGCTGAAAGCTTTCCGTGTAGATTTAAAAAAACGCATATTTCTCACACATCCGTTGTGGCGCCGATGGCGTCGGTATTTCTCTCTCTCTGCCTAAACCTGCACCACCGGATATCAAAAAAACGCAAAACGAGAAATGAAAATATTTGCAAATATGTGAAAAATTCTGAAAAATGGCCAAGTGCGTGTCTCTGTGTGTGTGTGTGTGTGTGTGTGCGCGACGGTGGCGGCGACGGCGGCGGCGACGGCATAAAAACTGCGACAGATTGAATTACCCAAGTGTTGAGCAGGTGTGTGTGTGTGTGTGTGTGTGTGTGTGTGTGTGTGTGTGTGTGTTGATTCAAAGCCCATCCTCAACAGGGCTAAATGATGGGTGTGATGGGGGCGACGGGGGTTAGTCTGCGTGGGCCATGTCCACCGCAACGCATTACGCTTGGGTGAAGCGAGCGCCGCCGATATGCCCGGTAATTGCATTATGCAACTATTGCCATATTAAGTTTTCCACTCACAGTTAGGCGGCGGCGGCGACGTCCAGGCCAAAATACAGAATCCAATGGCCAGAATTTCAAATGGACTTCCATGCAAAAGGTGGCGCCTGATAAAAGGGGTGAAAAGGGGGGAAGGGGGCAACAAGCCACGTTAAATGGAATATGTGCACGAGCCGGAATTGAAATTCAACAAGCCTAAGCGTCAGGCTTTTCTTTTTTTCTTTTTTTTTGTACTCTGTTATAGTTGGGCCACAGATTTGGTGTAAACTGCAAAAAGGCAAACAAAATGAAGTACATTTCGGGCATATGGTAAAAGAAAAGCCTGGGAAAGTTACGCACTGACAACTGACTTTTGAATAAAATGTGTCAGGTGAAAAGTATTTGCCACATAAAGCAATAAATGTCGGCTTTTATTTAAGGTTATCCCAGACGTATTTCCTAAACGAAAAAATAGTACTCATGTAAGAGTTTGTTTTTCCAATTTGGTTCCGCTTCAAAAATCTTGCGTGTAGAGTATCACAATTTTGATTAGGAAATGAAGATCGGAGAAAAAGAAGAAACTTACCGAAATTTGTAGAAAGGATAAAAGTTGAAGAAAAATTACTTTGTATACCCTTGTAGAGGGTATTTTAAGTTTGTCATGCACTAAGTAACGCATTGTCCGCCCGTCTGTCTGTTTCTATGCGAACTAGTTTCTCTTCGAAAGGTTTTTATTTTGCAAATATTTTTAATATTTCTCTCTATGGTAAACGTTGAGAAGTTGTGCCCTACTCTTTAAGTATCGCTTGCCTGCTTAAATATGCTTGCCACCTGCCCACAAAAGCAACCCCGCCTAGCTTGCAACAGCTACAACTTGCAACACACTTGCTTTAATCATGCCCCAAACGTGGCACGACACATTTTTGGCTATTTGCGGGCAGGTCGTGGCAAGGGGGCCGAGGCTTTGGTCATAATGTTTAATTTAGTTGTGCTATGTTGCCACATTTGCGTTGCCCCCTCCCCCAGGCCCTCTTATTCGCCCCCCCCCTCACCCTCTTTCTTTTGCCACAGCGCCTGCCCAGCTGCTGCCATTTTGCGTGCCTGCTAATAACAATAATTTTCATAATTTCCTTGCCACCTTTTTCTGACATCGCTCGAGAATAAACTCCAATTTAACCCTTATGCTAATCTTAATATATCTTGCACGCTCACACTTTAATTCTAACTCCCTCTCTCTCTCTCTCTCTCTCTCCATCTTGCAGGTTGTTGCTTTGTTACTTTTTATACGCGCCGCGCCGCGCTGAAAGCTCAGGACGCACTGCACAACGTGAAAACGCTGAATGGGGTAAGTTTGATTTTTTCTAAGTATTTTCCTCTTTTATAATATCACATAATTTTCTTGCGACACATTTATTGCCTGTGATTAGATTTTTATAGCTTATGCGAACGTGTGAAGTTTTAGACAGGATTTTAGCTTTTAATTGGAAACGAGCTTTTATTTTTTTTTTTGCAACGCGAAAAATCGTCTGCCGCATCAACTTATCATAAACGCATTCATGCAACACAGCAGCAGCAGCAACAACAACAACAACTGCAGGAAATAGCTGCCAGGAATTTTGGCATCGCATTGCCTTCATTATGGCTAACAGACTGCGTGACTGACAGATTGACTGACGCGTGAACTGACGCAGCACAAAAAATGTATGCGAAGAATTTCGGGGTACGACAGTCTAGATACTCCTTATTGAGTTTTCGTATAACATAGGGTATAGAGGCAATTACAGTTATATGGAAAATTAAAATTAGAGAGTGACTAGTGTGTCGAAGATACACGGTTAGCTTTTCAATATAATATTCATAAAATATAGGGTATCAACGCTAATTAGAGAAGGACGACCAGTCTAGATACACTGCTTAGTTCAGTTTCTTGAACTTTCTGGTACGATTATAAATAAATAAATATAGAGAGAAACGACTGTCTAGATACCCTATAAGCTTTACTTTATGGAATTTTATGAAAAAATTACAATATGAGAAGAACCTTGTCTAGTTACGCCCTAACCTTTTCTGAATTTCCATATTAATAGTTAATTTGAAAAGGGACGACTTTCCAAATACCCTGTTTGTTTCAATTTACTAAAACCTCTTATTGCAATACCCTGTAGACTATAGAAATGTCGTAATTCATCTAAACTTTAGATATATTTAGAGAAGCTTATTGAGCACAAGTTGGCTTAGGGAAATCTTGCAAACAGCGTATCTGTTCAATATTTCGTTCGGACGACCCTGTTACTATTATAGGGTATACCACAATCATTGCAGTTATTTTGCTATTTTCCAATAAAGTTTTTTGCAACACTCTCTAAGTTCGAAGCCGCTCCCCAACCCAAACCCTAACCGCATAAAATGCAAGTAAATTCAAAGTTTAGCCCTATGTCCTGGCAGCTTAAAAGTATGCAACAAAAAATATGAAAAATTCTTGAAAAAAAGAAAATGAGAAAAATTGTTAGCACAAGACACGCGCCAAAAGTTTTTTTTTGCCTGCAAAGTCAACCAAAACCACAGGCACAAAAATGTCAATTTGCGCTTGGGCGCTGCAACCGACCTCGTCCAACTACCAACCACCCCTCAGCAACAATAGGTAAAGGGGTTGTGGCGAAGAGAACGGGTTGCAGGAGGGTTAAGCATAGACAACGTCAGCGAAAAGCGAACAACGTTTGGGATTTTCTATTGCGCCATCAAATCAGCATGAATATTATTATTTGGTATGTCATGTAGTTACCCAAAGGAGGAGGAGGGGGAAGCAGTAGGGGAATATGTATTGGGATAGGTTATGCAGCCCCGCATAACAATGCTTTGTGTCTGACGCTCAAAATGTGACATGTCGTGTGCGCTGCCAAAAATTGTGTGGCTACGCGGCGATATTTCTTTTACAGAATTGCCATTGAAAGGCATAGCAAATGCTAAGAAAGCTGGGCAAAAATAGAAGAGAGCGGGTAAAGGAATAGTTAAAAGGATAAGCAACTGACAAGAAATGTGGCAGAGCTTGCGCTTTGTGCCCATTTTGGAGCATGTGCAAGGCACCAATTGACAACGTTCCCATAGAAATTTAGCAAATTGACAGTTGTTAAAAGTATTTTGAATATATTTAAATGTATCGAGATAGAGATAGCTTTGATCTCTTTAGTTTTGACAGTGACAACTTGCGTTATGCAACACTGCAACTTAAATTGAAATGAAATGAAATGAAATTCATCCAAGTACAATTTTACAACACTGGGCATATAAAACCAAAGCTTAAATAAGCGGAATTTATTATGAACAGGCAATCTTCTACATTCAATTTGTATTTAACAACACTAGCTGTCATCCCAACAAATTATTCATGTTGTTTTCTAAATGTTTATTTGAAAAACTTCAATTAAATCCAAAAGTGTCAATTTCGTCTTTGAATTATAGCTCTGTACTATTTAATATAGACTTTACACTTTCAGTGTTGAATAACGATAGAATTACATGAAAAAGGCAAGAAATTCTTAGACTGATTCCAGTCTAAGTTAGTTAGGCAGTTAGGGGCGTTAAAAAGGCTGCGTTTGCCCTGGTAATTGCTACTTCCTGCATAAAAATGAGGGAATTGGTCAAATAAAAAGGGGCGTGGCGTCACATTAAAAAAAAAAGCGAGTAGAAAAAAAGGGCTGCGTTCAGCATAGCCGGGAACAGGTTGAGTTGGACTGCAATTTGTAACAAGTCGCGTTGCGTGTATTATTTACGAGCTTAAAAAAGAAAACGAATAAGACAGGGAGACGCAGACGGAGACGGAGACGGACAAGAGAGGACGAGAGGGCAAGAGGACGAGAGCTGGGTGTCGAAAGGGTGCTGCGTACAAGGACATGGCTGCCTTATAAACGTATAAACGTAGACTGTCGCCGTTGCCAATAAATCACGGCCCATTAGCCGCGCGGACTTGGCGACGGAAGTGCTTGGGTATGCGGCCTCGTTTGGGGCCTGCCCGCCTGACCTCGTGCTGCGGCACGTTTTGCGGGCGCTTTAAGCTTGTTTTAATTAGAAGACGCTGTGCGAAAAATTACATTTAAAACGCGGCTGCAACTAAGCGGAGTCAGAGGAACGGCAAAATAGGGAAATGCGAACGCATATTTTAGGATTTTCACGGCAACAAGGAGAGAGAGATAGAGAGAGAGAGAGAGAAAGAGAGGGGCGACCAAAAAGGTGCCCAGTTAACTTGTTGTTGCTGCTGCTGCTGCTGCTTCTTCTCGACGACCGCTGAATAAATGTGTTTGGCTTTAGTCGAGGATTTGGCGGCCAGTTAGAAGCAGCTTGTCGGTTCTTTGCTGCATTCATTCATTATGCAGCTTAAGCGCCTACCAGAAGGTTGAAAAAAAAAACTAGAGGAAACCGGGACAACAAGCACGCTGCAGCGCCATATAAATTGACTCCACTTCTCTATATATATACACACACACATATATATATATATATATGCATGCATATATAGCTGCATGTCTGTTGTCCAATTTTGGCTGGTTGCATTGCGCCAAAGAGCTTGGCAAATTAATCGCCGGCTGCGTCGTTTATAGCGCCACAATATATCAAATGTGATTAACACGGCAAATTAAGTGTGGGCATAAAAAAAAAACGAAATGCTTGGCATTTTTAGTGAAAAGTAAAATCTGTACAGAAAGCGCGGAATAAGAATGGATTATAAGTGGATTTTGTACGAAATTGGGAGTTGTTGCGGGGAGCGAAATAGGTAGAGCTTATGTGTAAATTGGACTGACTGAATTCAGATTTATCAACTGTAAATTTTATATATTAATTACAATTTTAATTTTTTACATAATGAAGACCTGCTCATTGTTTTCTTTTATATTTTCTCTATTTCCAGATGTATCACCCCATACAAATGAAACCCGCCGATAGTGAAAATCGCAATGGTAAGTCAGTCATTTTTTAAAGAATTTTATTTTAATACGTCAAATTTGGCAAAATTTCAAAATGTTTTTCAATAAATTTAACAATTAAGCTGACAGGCAGTCAAGCTTATTCTTGGCTCATATTGTTTTTACTCTTGTTACGTCCAGCTGTTAAATATTTAACTAGCACCAAAAAAATTTAAATTTATAAGTTTGGTTCTGCAACTCCTTGTCAAGATGCTGTCAAATCTATCGACGCTTTGCTGTCATCAATCTACATAGTTTAGGCATTTAGCCGGTAAGCTTTTGTTCAAATGCAAAGTAATTGAACTGCCTGTCAGCTGATTTGCACTCTGACAGCGGCACGAAAAACAAGCCTTGATTCAAACTGACTGATGGATTAATAGTTAGTGTCGCGAGCTCCAACTGCCAGCTAACTAGCCAGGCATTTGGCTGAATAGTTTAACACGAAACTTTCATTTTGTGTGCGTATTTGTTTTTCTGGTCGCCGTTTCCAACTGCTCCAAAACTGTATGTCAAATGTTTGACACAGCCTAAAAGCATGCAATTCCATTTGACAGCTTTTGTTGCCAGCCCCAATGAACGTAGGGGGGGGGGGGGGTGCAGGAGGAGGGTGAACTGCCACCGGTTTGGCTTCTGTGTGACGCTGGCGATGGACAGGCCACATTTTAAACATTTCAACGGATTTTTTGCCAGGCACTGGCACTTCACTCTTTGGTTTTTATTCTCTCGCCCCGCCTTCTTTTTATTTTTTTTTTTGGCCTCTGTCAGTTGCGTGTCGGTCACTTGGCAGTTAATTAAAAACCATCAATTATGTGCACCGCGCTGCAAAATTGTTTAACAGCGACAGCGATAAAAAAAAAAAAAAACATGAATTAAAATAAAGTTTCTGCGCAAAAATTTAATTTATGTTAATTTTTTTTTTATTTCGTTGCCAGCTTGCCTACTATCTTCCCTCGCTCCACGCACGCTTCGGCGGCGGCTTCTTTTTTTAATTATACCCATGAAATTAATCTGCTTAAGTGACCACAAAAATGTTGACTTTTCCACACATACAACCCTCACACACCCACTCTCTCACACACACGCACACACAGAGAGAGATCGTGGGTAGCTGCATACAAATTTTAATTGGCGACCTCTAGCGGCGCGTATTGTTAACAAGTTGTAGCGTTTGCTGCCAGCGAGCGAAGTTTAAAAAAAAAAAGTTTTCGACATGCGGCTTCTACCAACTGCATCCGGTTTACCCCCCGACCGCTGCCGCTGCTGCTGCTGTCTCCGTTGTTGCTGTGCGTATAATTACGCTTGTTTAACATGGAGTATGCTTAATTTTTTGTTGGCCGCTCCATCGCAAACCATTTCCTTGTCTATTTTCTGGCTGCTTTTTTAATGGGGATGCACAAATTTTTAATGAATATCAGTTAGAATAGCGTATGAGCATAATGGAGGGTAAAAAACAAACTGTTAAAGGCAGCGTCGAAGTAGCCGGCAAATTGAAAAGCGTCTCTTCCAGTGACTCATCTTTAAACGATTGGCAGCGAACTTTTATGAAATTACTTATCGAAATTGTTATCGATTAAATTGAAGACATGCTATACAATCGCTTGGTTTCAACTACTTTGCTTCGGGTTTCAACGTTAGACATCGCAAATGGAAAATGTAATTCCTTTAATAGCTCAAATATACGTCATGGAAAAACCTATTAGCCCTGGAGCTTACAATGCATTAGGCAATGCATTACGTAAGTTAGTTTTTTCTTTTTGCTTTTCCCTAAACCCCTCTGGTTAAAAAGCTATAATTAACTTGACTAAAAGCAGCTTTGAAAGCAAGTGTTTTTTTTTTATTGTTGCGTCGTGTTTGAATTTCAATTTTAGATAAGCTTAAAAGGCGAAACGCCCGCAATGCGCCTAAAGCGATGGCAATGCAAATGCATTTTGGACAAACTCCAACGTTTGCCGCATTATAGACATTCTACTCGTTCAGATATATATATATTTATGTATATATATAAATATATATAGTTGATGTGCATGTACCGAGTCGCTGCTTGCCCCAATCGCATTTCAATATCTCAACAAAGCCAAAAACTACACGATTTCGCTTATTTTTTCAATGTTTTTTGTTTTTTATATTATTGTTTCGTAGTTTTTTGTGTTTTTCTAGTATTTTATATTCGTGGGCTTTGGCACTTTAACCTCAAAAAATAACACGGAAAAAAAAAATCGTAAAGAAAACTCGCAATAAGCATAAAAAATAGCAAAAGTTTTACTTTGGCCGCCGCACTGAAATTTATGCCAAACAGCGGAAACGATATAATAGAAAAAGATGGCAGAAATATTCCTCGATTTTTTTTTCTCGTTATTTTGTATATTTTGTATTTTACAATGTCTCCAAAGAGATGAGGGGGGGGCTGTGCGGGTGTGTCGGTGTGTTGGTTTATGCCTAGAAATCGAAAATAAGAGACAGTTGCAGACAACAGTTGGAGCCAACGTAACAACAAACGGAAGGTGGCAATTTAATAAAATGCTTGAGTGAGTCGCCGAGTTTTGTTTCCTGCTGCGGATCCTGCTGCTGCTGCTCCTTATAGTCCTGCTGCTGTCGCAGAAAGTGTAGCATACTTTTTGGCAGTCGTTGCCAAAGCAGCAGGCGGCGGCAAGCAGAAGCAACCTTTGATTGGTTTTTGGGGTTTTCTGTGCAACTCTTGTGTTATTTCAGTTGCTGGTTGAGAGCTCTTCTGTTAAAGCTTTGCAGTTTGAAAGGTATATATATGTATATATATATATATATATATATAAAGTGTGCCGCAGCCAGAAGAAGTAGAGTGGCTAAGAAAGTGCTCAAGTTGTCTCGATTGAGTGTGGCAATGAGCCTGTGACTTGTGCTGTTCGTCATCACAATACTGAAAGCGTTTATAGCGGTGTTAGTGTTGGGTAACGATTGAATTAAATTTGGGGTATACATGCATGAATCTCTTAGCAATTGCAGCAATTAAGTGTTGTAGAACAGTTTCCATTGCTTTAACTTTGATTCGTTATCCAATACTGGCTCCTTTTAGCGTTAAAGCAGAGATGCCTCCTTTTATGTTATGCTGTTATGCAATTTAGGCTTTATTGAACAGTTTCCATTGCTTTAATTCACTATTCATTAGCCAACACTGGCGCCATTTTAGCGTCGAACCGGCTCTAGCGGTTCTAACGATTGCAATAAGCATGCTGTATACATTTATTTAATGCATTTTCTTGTGTATGTAGATTTCAATATAAATTAAGATCCAGAAATATCTCAGGTGTGTGTATTTATTTTCTGGCTTTCCCACTCTCATAAAGCTATCAAAAATTCTTGATCTTCACCCCATCAAATTGTGCCTATTACACTTAAGTACAGTGCGAGGCACACTCTTGTATAATCTAGAGTGCCAGCACGCTATTACAAATTTCTTGTAGCCTTCTAAAGACCCAACAAATGACGCCTCATTTCCACATGAATTGCAGCAAATGTAGTTAAATTTTATGGTGCTGACCCTGTCCCATAAACTTCAAACCAAAACAAAGACTGTGCAGGCGGGGTTGGGTGTACATAAATACGTCAAGTGTTAAAAGTGGTCGGGATAGGCAAGTGGGGAGGGGGGCAGCTAAACAATAGACCAAAGAAAAAGTGTCTGCAATAAAGGCGATTTGCATTAGGTTTACTTAAGTAGAAAACATGAAAAGTGCCAGACAAAATGCAACCAAATCAAATGAGTAAGCAAAGAGCTAAAGAGTAAAAGGAAGAGCCGAGAGAGAGAGAGAGAGAGAGAGAGAGAAAGAGTGCAAAAGAGTGAGCGAGGTGGTAAAATGGCAGAAAGAAAAGTGCAACGTGGTAATCAGTGCAATTTGCATGCGAGCAAACTTCAAACAGACAACGATGAAGCGCCCCAGAGACGATGTCAAGTTTGCTGGCGTCAGGTTTTCATGCTCCGCTTATTAAGTGGAATAGGGTATATTGGTTGATGTGTAAGAGGTTCCTACAGACCAATATGACAAATATGACACGATATATCTACCAATATAAATAGTTTTCCGCTTACAGTTTAAAAGTCAGCGTCTTAAGCTGATTGTTTTACTTTAGCAGATGAGCTACTTAAATTATTTTTACACAAAATAAATTCTTGACACAGTTTGTAAGTCACATTCTGTCGCAGTCGAAGTAAAGCACAGTCTTTGACATTTTTAAACCATACCCAAGCAGTTAGTAAATAGTTTTCTTTTACAGTTTTGAAGCTATTTTCCTACCATGATTATTTACAACAATTTCCAACAGTTTTCCACTGTGTTTACACTCTGCGAACAGTGTATTGCACGGTCAATATATTTATTTTTCTTTTCGCCGAACACCCCCGTCATATTTGAGGGGTGTTATTAAATTTGCAAATACGTAATGTCAAATGTGTTTTCCCTTTTTTATATTTTTGGCGCTGCATACTTGAGGGCGCGCCAGAAATGCAGTAAGTAACCAGCGAACGGCAAACGGCAAGCAGTAAGCAGCAAAAGGCAGGCAGACATGTAAACATTTTCATGGTTATTCCACACAATTTGCGAACGCGCTCCCAAGAAAATATTCAAAATGGATTGTATTTGCATTTGTACGCGAAATGGTACGGGGCGGGGGAGGGGGGAAGGAGCGTCGGTATATTGCCGCATATGAAATCGATATGCAAATGTTGTGCGAGGTTCGCGCAAGTAGGAACTGCGATAATATAGAAAGCGGGGGAAGGTGTGATGTGGTCTCTCGACTTCCTCAGCGATGATGATGATGCACGTATTGTTTGCTTGTAAACATGATAAAAATTCAAATTAGCCATTATGGCAAGTCAAGTACACATAAATGAGTGTGCATGTGTGTGTGTGTGTGCGTTGGTGTGTTGCTTGTGTGTTGTCGCGTTGAAATGTAAAATGTGGCTAAAAATTACCGGAAGGCAATTGTGAAGTAGAAGTAGAAGTAGAAGTAGAAGCAGTCGCTGCAGAGCCTTGAGCCAAGTTTATACAACATTTGTATTTGCATTTTTCATTGACGGTTTTTCTTGCATATTTTACATGTGCTTGGCAAATCAATGAAAACAAAAATGCGTTTATAAGAAAGGATTAATCTAAAGCGAATATTTTATGAATTATGTTCAGCTATATATATGAAAAGAGCTTAATTTAAAGCTTCTATTTTATGTAGTCTTTTATTTATTGTTAATAAGATAATTAAATGTTTATATTTTCGACAGGAGTTCCAATTGAATATGTTTATTTACCTAAAATTTGGCATTTAATTTATGTATGACGAAAATAATTTGCCAAACTTGAAATCTACGCAAAAATGCAAAAATGCAGCTTTTCTAAAAGCTTCTGTTAATAACTTTTTATCATTTTAAGCTGTGTATATCTAAAAATATATATATGTTCCTTTGATCGAACTAAATCTTGCTCTTGTGCGCATTCTCACATTTTGATTCTAATCATAATTAGCGCACACGAAACAGTATTACGAAGTTCACCTTAAAAACTCGCCAAGCAAAATGTGTTAATTAACTCATTAGCAGCAACAGCAACAGTAGCAACAACTGCAGCAACAATAACAACTATTGAGAGACTTGCAAATGAACAAAGAATACATATAAGCAAGAAACTAACATTAAAAGTCATTTAAAAAAGAGCTCAACAATTTCACAACAACAAGAGTTGTAAATCAAGTTTTTCCAGTTAAGTCCGCCCAGAACCTTTTTGACATATAGATAATGTTGAGATTTGAGATGAGTTGGGATTTTAGATGGATGAGCTGCTGCTGCTGCTGCTTCTGCTGCTGTGTTGGATTTGCATTTTGTGTCTGTCGGACTGCTCTATGATAAAAGCTTGGTTTAGTTGCCGCTAAAACGTGAAACGGTCGCAAACGCAACGGCTCGAAATAAATTCCAATATTTCTGCGCAATTTTTTGCACGTTGTCGGTTTTTTTATTCGTTTGATATTTAAATAGCAAAAATACGCGACATTCTCTTTGTTTCAATCCATTTTGGTTGTTGTTGAGGTTGTTGTTGTTGTTGCTGCATGTGACGTCGCTTAATTAGTTGCAGTGCTGCACCCTTCAGCCCGCTGCTCCCCCCTTTCTCTTTGCGCCACTGATTGATGTCAATTTATTTTTAGCCATTTGATTTTTGCCAATATACGCGTTTTTTATGCCGGCCGCGCGACATGCGAACTGTGCTTCATTGTTGTGCCGCCGCTGGGGAAAAGTGAAAAACAATATATATACACATATACATATATGTATATATTGAAAAAAGAAAATCAAAATAAATCGATTTAGTCTGAAATTAAATTTTAATCGCTATGCAACGACGCATGCCGCAAAAGTGAAACGAAAAACAATACTACTTGCTACAGGGTGACACTTGAAAACAACAACCTGAAATATCTGGCAAAGTCATCAATTAGCAGATTGTTTGATTGCCGAGCAACTACCGTGAGTTTCAATTCTAATACTAATTAATTGTTACGTGCTGAATGTTGATAATATTTTTATATACTACATGCATACATACTATACCAATCTAGCTTTAGTTGGTTGCTTTATAAACAACAAATTGTTCTTCATAGACTCTTTGTAAAATAGCATAAGTAAACTCTAAAAAGCACTTGCTAAAACATTAATTATGTTTAGTATTTTGGTAAAAAACTTCTTCGAATAATGTAGCATATGTATTTGAAGAACCTAACATTTCTCTATTCCTCCACGCATCCCTCTCATTATATATTTATCCTTTATAACGATCTATTAAAATCAAAGGAACCTTTTTGTTTCTTAATACAATTTAAATTTAAAATTGTATACATTCATTTGAAAGTATTTATAAATATAAATATATTTATACAATAAACCTTTTCTTAACTTTAACTTATTCGAAAAATATGCTTTTGAGCTTCTACGTTAAATTTTTACTACCTTTGTATCTATCTAGTTACAGAGTATATGTTGGCCATATTTTTACAACTGAGACTTGGTAGGCCCAAACCCTGACCCACCCTATAAAGAGCAAAGCAATGCCAACTTTCTATCTCATTCTGTCTTTCTCCACTTGGACTCTATGCAATTAAATGCCGAATACCTTTCGTTTTGCTCATTTGCGAATCAATTCTTTTAATTCTTTGGGCACCTTTTGTCTCCTGCTTTGACATCTGCCTGTTTACGTCCCAACTATATATAGCGGCAAGTCAAATCGAACTATTCGATCTATAAAAGCAGCCCATGACAGACGTATGGCCTGCAATCCGAAGGAAAACTCGATGCCAGCGCCTGTCTAGAACCAAAGACAAAAAGCTAAAAACACGCTAAAAGTGCGAACCAAAAAACACGCTGTGCAATTCTGACAAAGAAATAAAACTAAATGTTAATTGTTGTTAAATAGCAAATCAGTTAAAAATATTTATTATTTGTTTCACTTTAATTGTTAAGCGTTAAACGTTAAATATTTCAATGCAAAGTTGAACGTGCGTGGCTAAAAAGAAAAAAAAAGCAAAAATTAAAGCAAAACGTTGCGTGTTTTTAGTTTCAAAACTAAAAAATAATAAATATAAATAATCAAATCAAACCAAGACGAACACAAAAATCAAAAAAAAAAAAAAGCAAGAAGTGTTAACCTGACGCTAATTGTTTAAAAGTCAACGCTGTCGTTTTTAATATTTATGATATTTACTTAACGAATTTCCACTCACTCAATTCGCTATATATATATTTATAAAGTACTCGATACTTACATACTTTTTCACTACAACGGCATTTCGAAGCTTTTTGTGTGTTTTTAACGCTCGCTCTGTGTGTGTGTGTGTTGCGTGTGTGTGTGTGCTCACTCTCTCTCTATCTGTGTGTGTGTGTGTGTGTGTGTGTGTAAATAAGTGTAAAGTATTTTCAAGAATTTTCTCTTCTTCGTCGCCAATCGCCGTCGCCATCTCGCCAACTGACATGATAAATAATTCAGCTGCAATTGGTTTCGTAAATAGCCAAGGCGGCAGCAACAACACAGCAGCAGCAGAGAATGGCAACTGCAGCGGCAACATTCACGCCAGCAACATCAACGCCAGCAGCAGTCAATTATCGTCAGTAATTGAGAATTTATCCAATAATAGCGACATCGCGGCATTGTCCTCCGCATCATTGTCATCGTCATCGGCATCGGCATCGACGTCGTTATCGTCATCGTCATCGTCATCGGCATCGGCATCGTCATCATTGCTGGCAACCTGCAGGTCGCATGCCACGCATAAATCCTATCCGCCAATAAATTCAGCATATTGGTTGCCATCGTCGCATCCATCACCGTACACAGTGCCAGGTATGCAACAGTCGCTCAATTGCCAGCAGCCAGTCAGGTAGTCAGCCAGCCAGGAACAGCAGTTGCTCCATCTCCTTCTTCACCAACCACCTCCAGCTCCAGCTACAGCTCCAGTTCCAACGACTCTACATAAAGCCTTATACAGCTCCTGTCCATCTTCATTCAACTCTTCTGTTCTGTCTGTCCATCTCTCTCTCTCTCTCCCACACTCTTTCCCTCTCTCCTGTCTCTCTTATTGATGGTCTGTTGATGTTGAGTGTTATCTACCTTGTTTCAGTGTGTCCTGGGAGCAGCAGCTGTCCAAATTGCTCTGGCACCAACTTACATGCACATTACAATCCCCTACACTACCTCGCTGGCGCACTTTGGCTCTGCCCCTCATTGGTTGCCTTTAAAATGGGGTAATTAAAGCAATTTATTGGCCTCCAAAATTGCCAAGCAGTTGTCATTAAGTAAATGGCCCAAAACAGCGCGCGAGACTTTTGTTGCCAAACAAGCTGAAACCGGGCATGGGATTTGCCTTCAATTTGACTAAATGATGTTGCCAGGTATCAGACTGCATTGGCATTTGAGACTTGAAGGGAATATCAATCAAATTGGAGTGCGCTTTTCAGAGGATTTAAACAAACCAATAAGCAACAATAAATGTTTGTAGGACTTGAAAGTGAAAACATTTGAACATTTGTCCCAAAATATTAAGAGTAGTTAGAAACATTAAAAGCGAATTTTAAAAACTTTTTTTTACATATATTAGTGGAATTTTGAGCTTATTTGGAAATTAGCAGAACAATTTAAATTGAATTTCTATATGCATTAATGTATCAAAAATTGAATTATAAACTCCACAAATTTTTTTTTTGTTTCTGATAGCAAAGTGTTTTAATGTGCAAGCGAGCACTTTATTAAATAGAATTAAAAATAAATTTATTCCATTGGTAAAATAATTTATAATGTGTTTAGCCATAGTTTTGTTTACTCCCTTACAAAATATGAACACACATTTGTTGACTTTCGCCAAGTGCTTCTCAACTTTGCTCAGATATACATTTATTCACACACGCATCACTACTTTATCGAGTGTTGTGCGTCAGTTGAATTGAGAATTTCACGCACTGTTAAACACAACATTAAGTGTAAAATATAAATGTTCACTTATGCTATATATGTCAGCAACAGCAAAGATGTGTTGACAATGACAGGACCAGGAAACTGAGTTTAATTTTAAGCCTCAGCCTGAGTTCTGAATCCTGAGCCGGTTGCCGGCTCTGAACCTGAGTATTTCAAACAGCTAAAGTGTCGTGCCAGCAGCACGCACATGTCAATGCAGGCACACAGAAACACACACACACATCCAGCCCCAAACACACACATGCACACTTTAGCTACTTTCACATTGAGATACACACGCACACTCTCTCTCTCCTCTTATCTCTTAGTTGGCCAAACGTCGGGCACAGATTGTTTTTGTTAACTTTAACCGACAAAAGGAGAAAAATACAAACTGCACCAGAGCTCAAAGTGTGTGCGTGTGTGTGTGCGTGTTAATGATGTTAAAGTCAAGTGTAAATTGTGGCCAAGTGGGCGGGCGCATTGCCAGTGGGCGTGCTCTCGTCATGTCAGGTGTGCGCCAGACAATGCCATTGACATGATTTTTAATATGTTTGGCATATGTTTCTTTTGTCTTTAAATGCGAAAAAGCGACGACAAACAAAAAATTGTGCATGATGCGGGGCAATGCGAAACTGTGGGGGTTGCGACATACGGTAAAGTATGTCATCAACGCGTAAAGTTCATAAAAACGCTTCTGGTTAATTGACATTAAAATTTAAAATTGAGCCGGAAGCATGTTGACACAATATCATGCGGGCGATAAATCCATGAAAATGTTATGAACAGGTGCACTGAGATACTGAGCAAGTCAGTTCATATGCTTAACAATAACCCGGGTTATGTGTGTGTGTGGACGCATTTTAATGATATTAACTCTTAAACTTTAAAAATATTTGGCCGCTACTTGTGCCTACTGAGTATAATGAAGCCATCTTTTCAATTATATTTCACAGTTTTTTGCTAAAATCATTTGTTTAAACAACATAAATAAAAGATTCAATTTTTGGCTGAGAGGTATGTTGCTTCGAAATCTGGGCTAGTTCATGCATGTAGCTTTGTCTTAGTCACTGCTTTTCAAAAATTAGCGTAAAATATTGCACAGATATCCGATATTTACTAATATTACTTTTACTTGATGACTATTTGAAGAATCGATTATATTGAGGGTTTTCTTAAATACTTGCAGACAACAGTTTTCATTGTCCATTGTGTCTATCGATAATATTACAAATGAAATCGATAGTTGTGTCGATAATTTTACCTCTTCCCGAAAACGCCACATCTACTCTCTATAATATATGCAGCTGTCATCCCTTTATAAATTTTCTAACTGCATTCTGCTGGCACTTCATAAATCTAACTGGCAAACTGGCATGCAAATTTTAACTGGACTTTAATTTTCTGCTAAATTAAACGCCAAATGAACTGGCCACGTAGCCAGCACGTGACAGGCATCCCATTTTAGACCCCATTACCCAAGCCCCAACCAAGCCGATCTCTTGGCTATTTAAACGAGCTGTGTGTGTGTGTGTTTGTGTGTGTTGTGCGAGGCGCATAAAAAATGTAATTTTTCGCACACACACAAATTTATAACCTTTAATTGCTTTGACCCAAAAACGCAGCAGGCGGTGAGGCGAATGTCTCTCATAGGATCTGGTTGCCTGGCTCTGGGTTATGGGCCATGCAGCAGAACTCGGCCACAAAAACCACATTGCCTATGGCCTGCATAAAGTTTTTAGCCCCAAAAACCACCCTGGCCGACCCCCCTGCTGTTGTTGCCTAATGCACTTTCACATTTGGCGCGCGCGTGTGCCATTTACCCACATACAGCCTGCCGTGAGTGTGTGTGTGTGCGTGTGTGTGTGCGTGCCCGCATACCACCCGCTGAGATAGTTGTGAAGCGTCTGCCGTGTCCCGTTTCTAATCCACGACGACGCGGACACTGCTCCTGGTTCCGGCTGCATTTCCAGTTGCCCCGGCTAGTTGCCATTTTATGCAAATGAATTGGTTTTTACTGAAATACTTCACACTTTGTTTGCCTCAACGCGTGCAGCCAGCGCGAACTGAGTCGACCTCGCTATCGCCGTTGCCGCGCCTTGTCTCGAGGCTGTGGCCCCTGCCCCTCTGTTCCTGCCTTGGCGCCAGGATACAGCGTGACACTCGCTGGAAGAGACCACAGAAGCGGCAACTGAACTGAACGCCTGGCATCTGGCTTTGAGTGGCAGACTGTGCAAGTCTGAGTGAATGATTGCTGCACTCGCTGACTGACTGACTGACTGACTGACTGACTGGGTGACTCACTACCCGACTGACTGAGTGTCCAAGTGAATGACGTTTGTCTGCTTGCAGATATCTTTGGAATGTCAGCTAGGAGTTTGGAGTGTGACCGACCAGCCATTAAATCTCTAGGTTTAGTGCTATTTTATGGAGTAACCAGTTGAAGCAGGAAGCTTGCTGCTTCACCACTGTCACTAATTTTGGGTATTGACGATGATTTTCTATTGTAAGAGGCCTGTTAATATTTTTCTCTCACCCGTTGCCTCTTATTCTCAACTCTTTCTCTCTCAATCTCAATTGCCTTTCTTTTTTCGTAATGTTTCCCTTAAGCGTTGCCTTTCTACGCGCTTCTTAAGTAAGATTTTTTTAAAATATATAATTACGTTTAAACATTTCCCTACCTCTTTCTCACATTTTCATCGCCTATCTTACGCTGAAAAGAAAGAAAAAAGAAACTATTAGCAATTTCTCTCATTTAGCATATTTATGATATTATGAACATTATTATCATATGTGAATTCAATTGTCTTTAAATTAGTTCAATTGGCACATGACTGCTCAAAATATCTTCACATAACATCAATTTTAATAAAATTTCACTATTATATCCCAGACAAGTTGTGTGTTCCATTTTTTCGTATTTTGTACTCCCTCCCCATTTTACCATAAACCAAACTCTATTTGCATAAATGTCACATGTTTACGCATTTCGAATGCGTCGCATAATTCAATTTCTTGCATAATAAAAAAAAATCGACCTTAACGTCGTTCGATGTCATAATCATAACCTACAGGCAGGACACATGCCTACATCCTACATCCTACATCCTAATATCCTTAAACGAAGTCCCAAAAAAAAAAAGAAGAAGAATAACCCCACCAAACCCATAAAATGCAATAAAGGAAGTTGAAAGTTCCGACACAGAAACCCATTATCACAGTTACACACACGCACACACGCATTGTCCGATCATTGGGCAAAACTTTTAACCCCTCACATAATGGACATCATGCAGGACATTCAGTATTTTTTCTTTTTGGTATGTGTTGTCCTTTGGCTGACCCTCAAAATGTGTAAAAATGCAAATAATTTTTGGACTCGCCTCGTTATTGTTATGCTCTTGATAATGCTGTTGTTGTTGTAGTTGTTGTTCTAGTTGTTGTTGTTGTTGTTGTGCAGTGCCTTCTATGAAGGCAAGTAAACTATGAAAACATGTCCTTTTTATTGCCTTTACATGGAAATTTATATGCATGTAGTTGTGTATATTTGCGGCAGCAGTTTCAGTTGTGCCTTCAAATGGTTTTTTGTGCATGTCGAGGGAAAAAGAATGGCTTATTTTATTGGGTTGTTGTTGCTTGTATTAGTTGTAGTTATTACACACCCACACACACACACTCACACACACACGCACGCAGGATATTTTGGCTAGAAGGTTGACTGGATGGGCTCAAAATGTCATATCGATTTATTAACCTGTGTGAACTATTGTCTTGGTTTCTGTCTTTCTCTCTCTCCTTCTCTCTGGCAATCTCTGGTTTTTCTTGTGATAAATGTGTTTTAGTTTCTTGAAATTGCTCGTTTTCTCGGTTTAGTGTTTGAATTTATTTCTTTTCTTCTCCGTGTGTGATATGAATGTCCTTTGGCTTCAGTGAGAACTTTCACTCTTTCTCTCTTTCTGTCCCTCTGTCTCTCTGGGCGACACCCAAAGTGTTGGCAGTTATGGCATAATGGAAATTTATGCGAAAACTTGCTACCCTTGCAATTATCCTTGATATATGTATGTGGCTTGCGTTAAGCAGCGTTCAAGCTCCCTTTTCGCCACTTGATATTCAATATTTTTGGAAATAGATTAAACGCAGGGAGACAAAAACAAATTTCAATGCAATTAAAATGTAAATTTCGTTGCCCCAAAAGTTTATGCATTCGCAAACAGAATAAGGAGGCAAATGCGCCAAGCCATGGCCAAAGGATATGCTAAAGGATGCTTTCTCTTGCCTGTATCTCTATCCCTCTCCCTTCCTCTCTCTCTCTCTCTCTCTCTCTTTATGTAGCCAAATCGACTGCTGCTGAGCGGAAGCCAAATGCTTGAAAAAATAAAAATTTATACAAAAGATGGCATTGGCAAAGCGCTCAACAAACTCTTGTAGAGCCCGTGCAGTAAGGAAGTCGGGCGGGGGGGCAGGAGGTGCTCGATGTGGTTCTGAATTTAGGTAAGCTGCGCCAATTGAAATACATATATAGAAGGTTCGCATTAGACAACGCGCAGTGAATACTTCCTTTTTATTCGCTTTTAGATCGAAACAAAAAAACAATTCGTTTAGTTTACCTTCATAGCAGCAGGGTTTTAATGTTGTGTTTATTGTAGCTTCC